CAGACTGAAATGTATCAAATATTTTCTACAATCTGTTACAACACGTAATGTTACATGAAAATTGCTTTTAGGGACAGTGATAGATGTGCAACATAAACCGTGCACGCGTGTGGACGGTGTTTGGTCTCAGTGCGTGGATAATCAAGGAGCGCAGGAACAATATCAAGATCAATTACGTAAAAGGAACAGAAAGAAGAGACTCGGAGATTTCTTTTTATTTCATATGTATAAATACACACTGCCAGCGTATATCGTGAATGACCCACACTTTCACTTTCGTAATTAACGCAGGTGCCTCGTGTTTACCTGCCAACCGGCTGGAAACAATATGCGGATTTCCCTATGGAATCAGCCCCGTTCACGGGCAAATAATTACCATTATCGCGTACTGTGTTTCGTCGAACGACTAATCCAACAGCTTCTAAACTACAATCGTCTTCGTCGTGAGTTTCATCCATTGCGGAGGGATGTCTGGCCGTGATATCCGGTCGTGCACGCGCACACCACGCGGCCTGTTCCGGTGTGCAGCTGTTGTAATCGCGATTTCAAATCCTCCTCCGAAGCCTGGCATAACATATAATAACGACTATGATACAAGTACGTTCTACAGACGATTTCACTTTTAGCCAAGAGGCTGCATCCTCGTCTCGCCGTCAGCGAGACAGAACCTGCCTGCCTCCTCCGAGCACGCGTTCGCGCCAGCCTTTCTTTCTTCTCTTTCTTTTGCCTCTGTTGTGTTTCACACTCGAACGGATTACGAGATAGCACGAACGACAATCGTACTGCTGTACACGCTGGACCGCCGTGTACCCAGTATGTAATGTATTCTTGAGGATATTCGTATGCCTATTTATGTACAGATATATATACTAATACTGTATATAATATGCAGTCTCGAAGTGTAGCTGGCGTCGAGTTACACGATATATAGGTTCACCGAGTTAAAACAGAAATTAGGAGCGAACCGTGTCCCCTTTCTCTTGCCAAGCCAAGCGTGGTACAAAATACTTTCCCTCTCGCGAGGCGAGTCGGCAGCGCGGCGAAAGAGCGAGCAGGAAGGAAAAGGCAGGGGCAGCCAGGCAGCTGTGGCTCGCAAACGGAAAACCGGAAAACGATCGCTTCTAATCAAGAGCCTCGAGCGTTTCCCTTTTAACTTTGTTTTTTGTCTCTCGCTTTGACGACCCGTCACCTTCTTCACCTCTTCTTTTCTCCTTTTTCTTCCTTTTTCTTCCTTTTGTATTTCACGTTTCAGTTCGATGGAAGATACGTTTTCTCTAGTTGTGGATCGCGGTGGATGGTTAGGATGTTACGGCCGTCAAGAGCGAACCTAAGCTTGGAGATTTGGTTTGGACAAGTCACGCGAAGTGTAGACACGCTTCCGGCCGAGCGGTCTGTAATCTCGTTCCTGCAATCGTTTCCTCTTGGAGATCAAGAGGTTGTCGGCATGGCTCGTCCTTGCGAGGAAGAATCTACTCGGAAATGTATCGTGGGAACGAAAAGTGTTGTGGTAATTGAGTTGCTTAATGAATTTTACGAACGTAGAACCGTTCCGAGGACAGTTAAAAAAATTTATTTTTACTCTTGAAAAAAGGATATTTGGAAAAGATTCCTGATTATATTAAAAAAAAAAAAAAAAAAAACGAAAACATCATACTAAAATATCAAACAAAATTATATTCCAAAAATTAACGAATTATCAAGTTCTTATAATACTATATTGGAAGTAACCGTTTTATTTGTGATTATATATTTAAATTTTCTAATAGTTTTCAAAACATGAGTAGCGCTAATTCTGAACTATATTTATCAACAAAAACTTCATTTCACGCGTCTCTAAATATTAAACTGTCAAAAACGCAAATATCCTTCTTTTAATGTGGCAGTTGAATCCCAACTTTCTGTTGTCCACAGTGTCCTACTCTAAACGGAAGACGAAGAAGAAAATTTGTCGAGTCCCTGTTCTCAGAACGGTTCGCCAATCGGTTTGTCAATTTGCGTAATACCATGAATATTAATATCTGGCAAACATCATTCTTGGAAGCGCGAAACATCTTCGATCATGAATCGTAAATCTAGCCGGAGTAACTCAAAGCCAGTATAAAAGTCCACTTAGGTGCTCGGGTACTTTCTCCATGCATACGTACAGTTTCTTTCATCTCTCTCTCTCTCTCTCTTTCTCTGTCTGTCTCCCTTCCTCTCTAACTTAATTAATTCCAATGAAGTCAATCGATTGTAGAAAATTAGCCAGTCCCAGCAAAAAGAATTCGTCTAACCGTTAGACTCTAACGAATGGCCAGTTAAGGAGAGAATCGGTGCGCGAGCCCTGCACGGAGACGAAGGAGACGTCAAGCCGTAATCGACGCCGGAGGAAACGGCGATCCGAGCATGATCGTTAGAGCCTACCGGTCTCCACCGATACCGATAGCGTCGAAAGGGGGTATATATACACAGCTGGAGAAGGACAGCCCCTCCTGGATCACCGGCGACTTTCCCGATTTTGAAACGAGTCAGGTCGGCCAGTAGCGTACCGATCCGAGGCGAGGAGAGCAACCTTCTCTTCTGGTGTCGACGACGGTGTGCACGCACCGAACAGCCGTGTGCCGCTAACAATCACAATCGCCAGCAGTGGCGAGTTAGTCCCCAGTCCCTGGGTCGTTTTCCCCACCTTCTACTTTTGCTACAAACGTCGACGGGTATCGTCCACCGCAGTTAGACTGAGTCCGCTCGCGCATTCGCATTAATTTCCAATTCGCGGTGTGTGCTCTCTCGTCCAGCCTCTCCTCTCCGTTTCGTCGTCGGTTCGCCAGCGGTCTCTCGAGAAGCGGGATTCTACGGGTCTTCGCCGACTTTCGGCCACCGTTGTCGCGCGACCGTTATCCGTTATCCGCATCCTAACGGGGCGAATCAACGAAAAACGGTGTCGTCGACGGATGGAGTTATGCCCGTGGATTCGAGCCGACCGTGAAAACGTACCGCACAAGAGGAGAAGGATACGCGCGAACACGCGTCCCTGTTCGATCGGTTCCTCGAAACCTCTGTTTGCCTTTGAATACTTCAGTCCACGAAATTTCCTTCGTTCCACGGGAGGAGTAGTCGAAGAAGAATAGGGAAAGACAGATTAACCGTGTCGCAGGATAATTTTATAACGCGTAAGGACACTCTCCACGGTAGCCGAGAAGTAGAGATAGAAATAGAAATAGAGAGAGAGAGAGAGAGAGAGAGAGAGAAGGGGAGGGACTATCGTTGGTATTGGAATCGACAGCGAAAGTGCACGTCTTCCGTACGTGCACGGGATACGATGCACTTGTGCTAGATACCAGACAGGAGCTTGCTTTCCGAGGGGAACGCTGAAAAAACCGGAGAAAAGGATCGTGTGCTTTGCCAAGTTCCTTCGTTTCAGCAGCTTTTGTCGTTTAACCTATTGACGTAAACGTTTCTTTTAACGACGGTGACACTGCGTGCGTGTCAGACGGTAGACAGACAGACAGACAGACAGCTAGGCGGCTCGTCTTTCTGCTCTCGCCCACAGAAGTCGATTTCGTGTTTGCCCGTTCGAAGATACCGGTCGGTGAAAACAGTTAATATAAGAAACTTGGAAGGTGAACGCGTCCACAGTCTTATAGGATTCGCAGGCTTACTTTAGTGTCAGGAAGCGGCTGTCTCGCAGCCATTGCCAAACGTCATTCGCGGTGGCAATAGAACCAGACAGGTTTCTTTCCCTCTTCTCTTTGCCCTGTTGCCAGAGTAAATTCGCCACGCGATTTGATTTTTGATGAAGTCTTTCGTAGCGTTTCATAATGTAAATTACGGTTGAATAAATATGGACATTGTCGTTAATTACTAAAGGAATGACAAATCGAAAAATAGGAGGACTTAGTGAAAGACACAAAGAAAGATCTATGAAAAACGCGATTGTTTCACCTGCCTTTTATTCCCGTGTTAATACAAACGTTATACAGTACATACAGTCTTACATAAATGTAACGCGTTAAACTATCAATGTTGTAGTATGTATATAATGTCGAATGATTGTCTTGATCTGTTTTCTTTTAAATTTCCAGGAATACTTCGAAGTACACTGAAAGTACCATTACAGTACTACACGAACAAACGCTTCTGCCTTCAAAGTTTCTTTCATATTCCTAGGAATACTTCAAATTACGCTAGAAACCATTGCAACACTGTACAAACAAAATATCTCACGTTAAACAATCAATATTACGTGTATATAACACTCTGTTATTGCCATCAAAGGTTGAGACTACCAGAGGTACTTCAAGTGTTCCTGGAAGTTCCTGGAACTACGCCAAGAAGATTACAATACAAAGTGCGAAAACAATTTTTTCAAAAATTTTCGCAAGAATCTCTCGTCAACAAGAGCGTAACGTTCGAGGTTTTTGCCTTGCAGCTGTCTCTCATTCGCGTTTTGTTTACGAAGGAGTCCTCGACGTGGTCAAATCGGCGGTGGCAGCTACCTGCTATTGAAGGGGCATGACGAACCATAGTAGCGCAGTCAGCTGCGAATCTCCGTGCGCGACACACGTGAAATCGTTTTCTCCGGTTTTCGGCGCGCGACTTTTATATCGTCGGCTCGTGTCCGCGTTTGCGTAACCGGGAAGACAAGTTTCTCGCCTTTTTTTTGCACTGAAGCAAACAGACGCGTCCGTCCGCGCATAAATTTCGAGATTCTCGTCCAATCAATCCTGACGAAGAGACGCGAGGGTTTTCTTCTCCTGAGATTCGTCCGTTTCTCTTTCTTTCCATTGTATTATCGGCGAACGCGCGCAAAAAAAAAAGGAGAAGAAACGAAGGTCGACGAAGCCGGCAGTGTATCGATGTGCAGTGATCAGGAAACTGGTGCGCGCCGGAGCCACGCCGGAAGTAAGGTCGTTTGATTCGACGAGAGCCGAGGGAAGATCCGGACAGGGTTCGTGACACCCTCGTGATCCGTACGGTAGCAATCTCGATCTTTTTCGTCGTTGATCGTCGTGAATCGGCGAACAGTTCTCTTCGTCCTTTCGTCGTCGTGACGACACATCGAGGATCTCGACAGCCGCGACGATGGAAACATGAGGACACTGGAGGATCGTGTACTCGATCGATGCAGCTCCGAACCTGTCGACCATAAATGACGTAAGTCCCAAATGAATTATGATTTTCTTTGTTTTTTTTTTTTTTTTCCCCCACTTTTGAATCTCCGTTACGTCGAATGTTACGATTGTTCGCGGATTCATTTATCGTGGAAAAACTTTTACATGTGCGCTGTGCGAAACAGATTTTGAAATTTCATTAAATTTCTCACACTGAGGCGACTGTTGTGATTATAATATCGGAAATTGTAACCATGAAAATGTACATAGAAATTAGAGGACATTTTAGAACGTCTACGCGTGTAATAATATAAGTGATGTAATATGTTAAAATGTTCTGATCTTGGAATGTCAAACTTTACCGAAATAATCGTAATTAGGCTACGAATGTTTATGTTGCTTTAGATTTTTCTGAATGTAGTCGAAGACATGAGAGAAATTTGTTATTCCAATAAGTTTTGCGTACGTGTGTTTTATCTATTTTTGCTATACTATCCTACGTTTTGTGGATCTTCCCACTCTTAAATATTTGCACCTTATATTTTTAGATTTCAAACGTGACCAATATAATCGTGATACTTGAGTTACAGTGTTAATAAAGTTTCAAACTGTTTTATATAACGCACATGACGTATTCGTGAAAAGTTTTATTTACTAAATATCGTAAGAAAATACCACATTCTGACTATTTTATATAATATTTTATGTTTTGTAAATATCCATAATATGTTTACAAAGTAATTGATAACATTTCTCTTTGAAAAGTTTATTAACAATTTTCGACATTGTCAATATTGCTAAATGCGTACGGTAAAATTTTTCTAAATAATCAGTAATTAATTGACAAAAATAGAAAAATTAATCGGATAATTAATGCCCTAAATACGTGTAGTAGAATGTTGACAGTAACTTTCCAAAAAATGGCTTCAATTGCAAACTCCTGACCTTCTGAAGATATTTCGAATTTTTAGAATTTCGCATTTTAACCAAAATAAGAAAACAATTAGCAACTAATGATGACAAAAATTGATTGAAATTAATCAGTTTTGGTCTTTGCGAGTGAGATCATAATACGATTTATTTTTAATGGAAGTGATACGGTGCTTAGAAAGAGAAAAAAGAAAATAGATTTATATATAAAGAAACTAATGTATTCAAAAGATTCTAACGACGAGTTAACTCGTTCTTCTCGATTAACGGGTTAAAGAATCTCAACGCATGAAGGGACGCGTGTAGTAACGCAACATTTCATACGCAATTCAGTCGATTTATGCTGTTAAATTCTACGTTTTACCATTGCGATTATGAAAGCAAGTTCTAAGAATTTACCTCATATTTTTTTCATCGCCATTTCTTTCCTCATATACGTTTTACAAATTTACGAAGTTGGAAGAAATTGCCGAAGCATTTCTAGGGACTAAGTTATTTCTCTAAGTCATAAAGATCTTGCACACCGGAAGCACAGATCAAATTATTAATAGAAAACGAAAATGGTTGCAAATTATTAACAATTACAATGAGTTAGGTAAACCGTACAATTTCTGATAATAGGATTCCGTGAAGTCTTCATTATTCTAACGCATCTTTCATACTGCTGTTGAAGAATGGCGTGTAAATTACTTTATTTGCTACGATACGTTTACGTAATGTTTACGCATTATTTCACTGATTAATCATCAACGACTGAAACGTTCCATGAGATTGACTTCCCATTCAAAAATTAAAATCCAAAATTGAATTCCTACGTACGAAAGAGCGTAATGTTCTAAGTTTCTTAAATTCAAAGTATCTCTATATTGCTTTATTTGCCTAATTTGTAGATGATAATCAAAATGTCATCGAAAAAGCAATATAGAGATACTTTGAATTGGAGAAACTTAGAACATTATGCTCTTTCGTACGTAGGAATTCAATGTTGGATTTTAATTTTTGAATGGAAGTCAATTTCATGGAATGTTTAAGTCGCGTTGATCATTATAATATGCAATAAATGACTTTGCAGTTGGAAGTATTTACAAACGAGGCGCAATTTGATCAATTTCTAACGTTACGCTCGTAAATCTTTATTTGATTTATGGTGTAGATTATATATCAAACCGCAGCAATGTTTCTGCATCGTGATATGAATGCTCAGAATAAGGTGATAAGGTGAACCAAAGTGAAGTGTCAGTAAAAAAAAAAAAAAAAAAAAAAAAGGATCTTGAAGCTATCTCTTTAACGACTTGTCATTATTCGTGGTATTCATTTTTAATTCGAGCTTGCAAGGTGGATGAAAGACGCATGATTTGATTTTACATTTATTTTTCAATTAATTCAAGTCTGTAGATCTATTTTGAAAATGCAAGTCTGTGTTAAAATTACGAGATGATAATTTTATATATTCGTCAGACATACCTGTTCGCAAGATTGAAATTGCTTGCGCAGAAAAAAATCAATAATTTACATTGTTCAATTTAAATAAATAAGAATATATACTCCGTTTCAAAATTCTGACGTTAATGCAATTTTACGCACTGCAGTATAAAAAAAAAAAGTTACTCCTAGAGAGTTATTTTCATCCTTTTTTTTTTTTTTATTTTATCGAGATTCCGAAATATTCTAAAATTTCTTAAATTTCCGAGTATCTGTTAGTTCTTGCTAAAATGTTGACCTAAGCGGTACAAAATAACTTAACATTTCTTCGTATGACGAGTATAGATAATCATCAAGCACAGTTATCAGATCAATGACGATTGATCTCTAAACAAAATGTTCGTTCATTTTAAGAATTTGAAGATTCATTTTAATTACTTCTCATTGAAGGTTATTAATTATGTACAGTTATCATCTAGAGATAGATTTTAAAGAGATCATCACAGTTCAGTCTGAAAAGATAATGCGAAAACCGGCAAGAAAGAAATTTCTACATCCGTTTGATACTTAGTCACTATTTTCACCTCGTTACCACTCTCTTTAGTCAGTTTATATTTCATCCATTTGCTTTCAATTAACGGTACTCGGTTTAGCTTCGTTTTTCCGTTTTATGAACAGCTATTACCGCGAGCAATTATTCGCATGAAACGCGTCCAATCGATTAGTCGATTAGTCGGTTAAGGATCGCTCTGCATCGAGGAAACGATTTCAGACTCGTTGTGAATAATTAGATATAGGAGAGGGGAGCAAGAAGGAATGATAGCCTGCAGTATTATTACATAAATCTGTTCATTTGCATAAACATTGAACGAACCGTTCACTTATGAGTTTTATTAGAGCCCTGAGTAAACCATTGAATCACGTTTGGCCTGACTGCAATACTAATTGTTAAAAACTAACATCGCTACCGGCGGGACTGACAAACGCGATGTGCCATCATCACTCCTAATTTGTAACGCGAATTATTCGTCATTTGCATACTCGTGCCGATGGTTACGAAAGTCGTGTTCCAGTAGAAAACCTGAAAAGATTTATTATACACTTGTTGATTCTTTCTGCATTGAAACAATTGCCAAAAAAGCAATCAAAGGACGAATCGTTTAGGTGATTTAAAAAAAGATTCCTTGTTACACGGGATATATAAGAAAGAAAATTTATTTATATATTTGTATAAATGCAAATTGAACTGTAATTGAAATGTTATGTAACACTTAACGACAATATATATGTATATGTTGTATTACATAAATATATACATAAATAGTATTTCTGTTTTGGTTACAATGGTTACATTGTACATATTTCTTGATTTTGTTTTTGATTATCTTCATTTTTATCGTGTTTTATTATTTTTATTATTGTCCGGTTGATTTTTATTTTCTGTTTAATATAACTTCCCTCTCTTTTCGTAAATAATAAAAAGCACAAATGAATAATGAATAATACGAACGTTAAAATGAAATGAACAAGTTAATGTATAATAAAACGTGAAAATATTTTAGAATCGGGGTGAAACCGTAGGAAAAGTTCAATTTACAAGAATGTGTAAACCAAGAGACTTTTCCCCGAAAAGAAATTAAAGAATGTTTCGTTTTTGGAGAAAACAATTGTTCGGCATATAGGTGTTGTACACATAATCGTCCTACAATCCGAAGTTAATTAATTCTTTTTCATTCTTTTAAAAGTATATTTCACGAAAAGAAAATTTACAGAAGATCTAAAAGGAGAGCTAATCTCCATGAAAATCACTGATCAAGTATTCAACAATATATAAATCACCCAACATTCAACGATATATATATATATATATATATAAAATTTAGAAATATATTTATTATATAATTAAAAATATATAAATAATTTATAAATGTAATTGTAGAAAATCCTAAAATTTTATATATATATATGTATATATATATTTTAGAAATATATTTATTATATATAATTAAAAATATATAAATAATTTATAAATTATAGAAAATCCTAAAATTTTATATATATTTTAGAAATATATTTATTGTATATAATTGAAAATATATAAATAATTTATAAATTATAGAAAATCCTAAAATTTTATATATATATATATATATTCAATGTACTCGAACGATATCGATTGGTTGACACAATAATTTTTGAAAGCTCCAATTTCGTGCCACTTTTACCGTCCAAGTAAAGTTCCACTTTTTCGCCCCAGTTTCTTTTACATTTCTTCTCCATAATTGTACGCTTCGTTTTCGACTAATTATACATGCTAATACAATTCGGTCACTGTTTTCGTTATCAATGAGAATATATATATTTGTCATATCACGCAAAATGTCGAGTTACGCGCGCGTTCTTACCCGTATCACGAGCACGAAGTCGAAAGTGCGATTAAGCCTGATTCCTTCTTTTTCGTTAAATAAACGGGCGGTTTCATAAGCGGGGAAGTGTATCACGAGAAAACGAAACACGTAACGTTGCGTCGGTTACGCGATGAAACTCAGTTGGCAGAAATTGAACATTGTCTTTAGGAACCAAAGGGAAATTAATTAATTACGCGATCTCCACGTAGATCTGGTTTTTCACAGGCGTTTTTCAATTTAGTTAGCGACACGAGCATAATTTTACATTACATTGGATTAAAAT